AAGCCATGTTAGGTTGAGCCTATTCCCTCATTGGTCGAATCCTTGTAGACAGAAAATCAGCGGCAGTGCTGCTGCAGTCTCCATAAGGGGAGACGGTAGTCACCAACACGTCTGACCTGACTGGTAAGGGCTTTCATGTTTCATTGTCAAGTAATTAACTAAACTCCTCTAGATCCTCCATCCGATTCAAGAATAGGCAGAATCTCTGTGAGGCCAGCAGCCCTCTCGCATACAATATATCCAGCCTAACGAGCGTAACCAATGGAAGGTGACCAGTTGAACCACCGAGGCTGAGTCGGCTATCTTGAGAACCATTTGGCGTGCGTCAACAGTACTGATCTAAGGTTTCAACCATACCCACGAAATGCTTCGGAAGAATCGATGTAGCTTCTACGTACCTGGTCCGTAACAACGGACCAAAGTGCAACACTCTATCCTTGGCAGCTAAACCGATGTCGGCAACATGTATGCCGGAGGTTGGTAAGCAGTGTCCTGGTCTTATAGATCCAAGAAGTGATTTCGTCCATCGCCCGACGGAACGTATCCACTAGATCGATGGATTCATCTGCAACCATAAAGTTAAGTTTGAACCCACTAAGTCTTGCAAAGTGTATGCCGAGCTGTTCAGCAGGACTATTTAGGTTTTTTAGGTCAGGAACAGGTGAAAAAAGAGCAAGCACCCTGTCGATTACGGAATTGAAGCAAAAGGACGAGTGATGGCTCCCTCGCCTGATACGACTGGGTATAGTAAACTCAGGAGAGGACTCACTATAGACACGTCCACATCATCCAGGGGAGGCACATAGATCCATCATGAGAAGCAAGATTTTAGAAAAGACACTGTTTATTGTCAAACAGGGCCATAGTTTCCTAAAATCAGCAGTCTAAAGCAGCTTTAGTGTCGAGGTAGGTCATCTAAAGGAGTGGCGCAAATCTGTCACATGGTGTTAAGTCAACGTAGCCGGATGAATACGAAACTTAGCCACGGAAGAATCCGCTGTCCTACTTGTGGTTTTGTTGTCGGTCGAACACGCGGGCACACATCCAGTCGACCTAAGGAACTAGATGCGCGGTCACGGGGGCAATTTGTAAGCACAATAAGAAGTGATACAGTTAGATATCAGTCCCTAAACTTACAGTAAGTAATACTACTGCTACAGTCCTGAACAACCACGTTGGTTTATTTCAATGCCCCATAATGAAAGTAAAGGTTGAAGAAGAGGCCAGTAATAACATATCACAAACACCTGACTGAAGAATGAGTCTCAGAAATCTGCCCTATCGCCGTTGTAGCATTGTCCCTTGAACGGTAGTTTAGACAGGGGAGGGGNCTGACTGAAGAATGAGTCTCAGAAATCTGCCCTATCGCCGTTGTAGCATTGTCCCTTGAACTGTAGTTGTGAATAGACAGGGGTCTGTTGGGTCCTATCTAGGTGTTGTTTTCCAAAAGCAGGAAAATCAACCCTGGAAAACATAACGGCTTCCAAACATTCAATTTGCAGCATTCAAGAGTCTTCATTAGGGCTAGCTTACCGTTTAAAGTAAAAAAACCGTTAGTGCATGCTGTTCATCGTTCATGCGCGTTTCCGATAAAACACCACCTGGAAATTAGCAAAAATAGAGGACCCTTCAGTTTTTTCCCCTAGAGTGAAATACAGATGAGGAGAATTGTATTCACAGTATTGACAATCACTAGTAGTTGCACCGCCTAAAGAGTGAACAAGTGTCGCGTAGTTGAAGTTCGCGCCCTTCGTCCCCCCCATGCATAGCTTCAGTCCTAAGGCATAAACCACTCACTACCATTTCAAAATATGTTTACTTACCGGTCGGATATGCGTTCGACAGACGCAGCATACACGGAAGACCTGTTGAGACAAGAAACTGAACGATGGACCGAAACAGTGACTTCTATTGGCTCGAGACCAGGCAACAGCTGAAGCCAGACGACACGGCTTCTGTGGCTGAGGCTAATGTTACCACTCGAGAATGTTCTACACTGTGACTCATAGACTTCGTTGGACTTTGAAATGCGGGTCTGTTGATGCGCTTTCGCTCCTACGTTTGCGTATGTGCCCGGGTTAGCTGCATCATTATCGGTACAGCATAGGGAAATACGTGGAATGAAATCACCTACCGACTTCTCGGTCCAAATATACGTATTTATGGGGAATCACCCTTAATAAATCGCCACTTGTCCTTACATGGGTAGATTGATGTTGCTGTCTTCGTATTGAGTCAAATCTCCGATATAGCAGCACCTCGAAGTAGGAAACCGTTTGCGTGCTACCGAATGGTTCTTCGTACAAAGAGGGAATACGGTATGTTCACCAACGCCTGCAGTCCATCAGCAGTGGGTATTGGCGCCCAACTCCCGGACAATTAAAAGTAATGGACACTACTGTAGAAAGTGGAAGGGACACCACTAGTGAAACTGGAGCAACACAATCCTATAATGTTTAGTCATCAGAGTACAGAAACAGACGAAATGGGCTATACTGCGGTCTTTGTAACGTTCCTCTTAACAGGTTTCCGATGTGGTTGTCGAACCGTACAATGCTACCCTAGCGGCAAATTTGCTGATTGATTTGGCCGATGAAACATTTGTGATAGATAACGAAGCACTCTACGATATTTGTTATCGGACCCTAAAACTAGTCAATCCAACATATGGGGACTTGAACCACCTGGTCAGTGCAACCATGTCTGGTGTGACCACCTGCCTACGCTTTCCTGGTCAGCTCAACGCCGATTTGCGGAAACTGGGCACTAATCTAATCCCTTTTCCCAGACTCCATTTCTTCGTGCCCGGTTTCGCACCACTGACATCGAGATACTCCCAAGCTTATCGATCATACACTGTACATGATCTGACAAACCAGATGTTCGATGCCAAAAATCTTATGGCTGCGTGCGACCCACGACATGGCAAGTATCTTACAGTGGCAGCAATGTTTCGCGGTCGATTGTCGGTTAAAGAAGTGGATGAAGAAATGCTGAACGTTCAAAACAAAAACTCTGCCAATTTTGTCGAATGGATACCAAGCAATATTAAGACGGCAGTTTGCGATATTCCACCACGAGGGATGAAGATGGCCGTCACATTTATTGGAAACAGTACGGCAATGCAGGACATATTTCGTCGAATCGGTGAACAATATACAGCTATGTTCCGACGCAAAGCCTTTGTGCACTGGTACACAGCCGAAGGAATGGATGAAAGCGAGTTTTTTGAAGCTGAAACGAACGTCAACGACCTGATCAACGAATATCAACAATTTCAGGATAGTGCTGAAGTTCAATAATCCATTCGATTTCCCCAGGTAATAACCTGTTGATATTTGGTATCACTTAGCGTTGCAGCAAAGCCTGGGAACCAATCAGTTGACATTTCTTTCATTTTTATGGAACTCACAGCTTTCCACTCAAAAAGTCTGTAACAAAGAGCTCAAATATGAGTTTTTTTAAATTCACTTTCGTCTTCTCATCGAATACGACAAAACTATACTTGAGAAAGATTTTAAAAGGCACAGATATCTGCGAGCCAATCTGCATACTCATAGGCGGAGCAACCGAGTTCACACCCGTGCGGGCTTACATACCTGCACGACACTGATACTGGGAAGTTACACTTCAGCGGATGCACGGCTGAAGTTGCGTCTTGGAAGGTAGGAGTCAAAAGCCCAGACCGTACCTTGTGATCACACTATCGTCTCTGGGTGAATCGCCGCTAAGCACACATTTTTCAAGGCAGTAAACGAATGTAACAGTCACCGCTACCGAGGAGAAGGGCTTCGAACTTTGACTGACCACTCTGGTCGTCACCGGAACGCCATAAGCTCCGCCTGTTGTCGTATCATAAAATGTACCAGCATTTTCTAAACCTTTCGCGTTCACAGACCCAGTCGCTGCCCTTAGGAATGACATGACACGTAACTGATGCCACTGTCTATCGTACTTTCACTTTCCTGCAAGACTGCCTCGCTAAATCCCGTCTACCATTGCGTGCTGTTTTGCGTCGGATACGGCACGCGAAAGTGCTGAGTCGATTCCGCTGATACTGTCATCTTGGTGATGGTGAAATTTATTCATTTCATTAATGTTACCTAGGTGTGACGGTTTGTGCACCTCAGTATGCCATTAAGCTGTACTGAAGAGTGCTTGCGCAAAATTCACAGCGTCTCCCAGTAGGTTTTTCAATGCAGAGGTCTGACAAACAAGCCTCCTGACCCTCCATGTCGCAGACTGGAAGAAATTTAGTAGTTAGTCCCCCAAAATTTGAGCCACTCGAAGTAGGCTCAAGCCAACCACTACTGCCTTGTGACCATGCTTTGGAGCCAGTCTTAGTTAAGGACCCTTATCGTCCTGCCTAGGTCCGGCAACCCTGGGAGCATCTCAACCCAGATGCAACCATAAACTTTGCAGATAAAAATACCCACATGCCACATCTATCATCGCGTGGTGACAGCCGGGTTAAGTTATTGGGTGGATGCAGAGAAGCGGATGAGTAAACAGGTGACTGTTTACGCCTCTCATCTATATTGTCATCCTTTAACTTTACTTGGCAATCACGCTTATGTCTATCCCAGCCGTAGGCAGATGCTGTCAGGCCCCTAGGGGGTTGACGCATTGCACGCCACTACTCATATTTACCACTCCGCATTCGCTTTTCAGGCCCCGTTCCCCCAGCTCTAAACGTGAGAACTCTTAGTTAGATGGGCCAACAATCTACTGTTGTCGGTTGACGTCTGTTGTATCTCCAAAACTCGAATAGAGGATCTAAGTACCGTTATTGAGCTTACGGAACCCTCCCTATCTGGACATTAGAGACTACGGACCACGAGCGATTGGGAAGCTCCTGCAGCGGGTTGCGCCCGTGTTTTGCGTAACGTTAGGTTATCGAGCCGAGGTTTCATTGCTCGATTGGATACCCGTAAACAGCCGCCTTTGTGCTATCCAACTTTTTACTAAGATAAAACCTCCCACTGGTTGAACCACTTAACGCTTTGTTTATCGTGTCTATTTACACACCAACGAACCGTAGCTCTGATGGCGAGCGAAGAACGACTTTGCACGCTGAAGGTGCAAAGCGCATGCTGAGAGACGGTATGTTGCCGGTCAGTTTATTCAAAAGAGCTGGTGCTTGTTCTGCGCATCCAAAATGACGTCGTCATTTGTGTACTTCAGATCGACAAGTCCCGAAGAGACAGGCTTTACTATTTGCATCAGTTGGTTCATCCCGTGATCCAGTTGAGGTGAGATGGCTCACTGGTTAGAGTACGAACCTACTGATCGGAAGGTCCGTGGTTCGAACCCAACCTCTGCATCTCGACTTCCCGTCTAGGTTTGGGCAACCTGGCAGTATCCCACCCCTCGTGCTTTCTTCGGGTAGCATAGTAGCTAGGCATCGGAAGGGTGTTAAAGTTGAACGACGACCCATAACTGGCCACCCTAGCGTCCACCACAAAGAACTCGGATAAATTCATGATAGCTGGGGAAGCCAATGTACAGATAACATGCCTCAGTTCACCATAAGCACGCCTGAACGCAATGATAATGAACGTTTTTAGCAACTTTGTAGTGATCACCAGCTGCTTCTCCCGAGCACGTACATGGACGCCAGTGCATCTCAGAAAACCATCTGCAATTCTAAACGCGAGGCGCTCCAGCCCTAGTGCAATTCAGCTAGGCGATCGACTAGACAACATAGCTTGAGCGTGGACAGAAAGCCCAAAAAATGGAACAGATTGTTCCGGCTAGGAATGTACAGAAGCTCTCCCATCTAATACACAAAACAGGGCTTAAAAAGCTTCCCGAGTATATGTATACTAGACATTCGCGTCTGGATCGCCGAGTGGAGTATTCTCAACAGCAGTTTAGTGAGCCCTCTGGCACTGTATGGTATCTTTTGTTCGCCCGCTAATTTTGAGGCATAGTATGAGTTTACATTCCCTCCTCAGTTGATAATGTCCTCCTGCTTTGAAGCATCATTGGCCAGCTGGACCAGGCGAGCCCCCCCCCCAGGTTGTAGAATCCTTGTGTTTCAGTTTGACCAAGTCATTTATTTAAGAACAGGAACCTGTTCAAAAGAGTTTGGACCAATTGTTGGTCGCATCAAAGGGTACTCGAGCCGGCTGTTCCGGTCATAGGGTACAAGTCTCACGCGTGTCACAACACAACTACGATATTTCCGTGTATTATGACACCTATCTCTGTCACGTGAGCTCGAGGTAGCCCATTGGTTGAGGCGAAAATTAAACGACCGGAGGACGCGTGTTCGGAGCCCAACCTGTGTCCCGATTGTTCCTGTCAGCCCTTGTACTTCTTCGGGTGGCACGTGAGCTCGAGGTAGCCCATTGGTTGAGGCGAAAATTAAACGACCGGAGGACGCGTGTTCGGAGCCCAACCTGTGTCCCGATTGTTCCTGTCAGCCCTTGTACTTCTTTCGGGTGGCATGGCAGCTAAACAGGAAAGGGTGTCAGTTTAAGGACGACGTGAGCTGCAAGTCCGAGAGAAATAGACAGGGATTTGGTCTGGTAGAGTGCATTGATCACGTCTTTACGTTACATCAATTGTTTGGGCAGCGTCAATTATGTCACCGATTAACAACCGCGGTTTACTTCGACTTTAAACGAGCCTCTGACTCTGTTGAGATTAGTTCTTCTAAACATCTTTGGCCAGAGGGGGACATCCTTCATGTGCTTTATTTCCATATCTCCGGAAGGGTTAGGGTGGTAAGCTGTAAGGATTCCTGACTAGTGGAGTTCGTTAGAGTTGTCCATCCCCATTTTCGTCAACGTCATAGAGTACATACATCAAGGGACCGTAAATCGGTATCGAAATCACGTCTGGAGGGAGTAATGGATGTCAACTGTGTGGACATGGACTCGTTGTTCGATTATTTATTTGTCCGCGTAAAGCACTATAAGGACATCGATTTCACGCTTTGGCATGCGCTTTGCACGTTCACAGTATACGGTCTTATTTTCCCTACCCCTTGTGCTTCTCTGAAACTTTGCTTGATCGGTTCACACAGCCCGGTGATTGCATAAGCATATTCTATGGTTCAGAGGATTGGCCTCCCCGATAAGACCTTGGGCGTCCCTAGATGTTTGACCACCGGGTATCCGTAGTACGGTAATTAGCTGACTTAAGCGAGTACTTAGCGAAGCGGCGCTCAAGCAAATACCTGGTGACGAATGCGAATTGCCAGAACACAGATCAAGCTTACCAGGTTGTGGCTGGGGCATTTATGACGTATAACAAACCACCGCCTGCCGGAGAAAGCGTTATTTCTTGTTCCAAGCAATTATCGGCGCACGGTTCGAGGGGAACAGGCCATGATATGATAATGAGAGATTAAGGCGGTTAGTAAGTGAGTGCTTTAGGATATTTGTGCCTTCCTGGCTAGAGCTAACGTGGACGTGGCTGGGAACCCTACGAGAGGTTACAAAACAGACCCCAATAGCGCGCACCGCAGACTACATAGCTGAAATTTACTTGTGATCTGGGTTTATGTCAGTTGAGGTTCAGAGGGGCCGCCTAAGAAACCTCACTGATGGCGCCTTCGGCCATTAGGCTCAAATGTGTTTAGTTTAATGCAGTCCGGAAACGTAAGCGCCGCATCCTTGATCACTTTACTTAGGGACATGAGACTTCGTCTCACTAAGTCCCTATCTTTCAATTTTCTTTTCTCTTTACTAAGGCTTTCTTACCTCATGGCTGTTCGGCAGTTAACTACCAGCATGCATCGCTATCAGAGATGACGGTGATGAGAACCACCGCGTGCAAACTATCCGTACTGTGAAAGAGAAAATCAGCACCATCTGGGATACCCTACCACCGAGTTTATTCCCGTCACCCCATAAATCCAATCTTTCGAGAATTCGGGAATATGATTCCAGTGGATATAGCCGCAGCTGTCTTCTTTGCTTAGCTGTTGTGCATTTCACCTACGGCAAGTCTCTGGCCGAGACTACGCTACCTCTGCAAACCGTTTACGACTTAGTAGTTTCGCAGAATAGTATAAATAATACACGGTGTATCAAGCATGATTCACAGCTTGCATGATGGCGAAGAATGGGAGTTTACACTGTTATCAAGTAATGCAGCAATTTCTTTGGTTTATTCAGGTGTTAAAAGAGGACCACATCATTCAATGATTCCTAGAAAACTGTGTCAAGCAACAGATTACGTACACTCCGTGGCTGAACGAAGGAACTTTAAAGGTCGAACGAAACCCCACTTCGCACGTAAGCGCATGCACAGCTTTTCGAACACAAGTGAAAGTTTCTTTGTGTACATATTGAGGGTGGAGGCCAGTAGCATACGGATCCTGGACCAAAATATCCACTAGAGAACCCGGCCTCACAGAATTATGTTGGAATGACGATTGAGCATCTGCACTCAGACAGGTGTTACCGTAAGTGATGACAGCTATAATACAGAGCTGAAGCGTTCTGATTATCTGCGAAACTACACAAATTCGAGCCCTTATTGGCGTTACACAGCTTCCACTGGGACATTCCAATTCGTAAACCGGTTATTCATCCAGCCCCTTCTAATAACCTACTGAAATTCTGCTCGAGATGCTTACTACCGGAAACTGGCCCAAACACTATATACAGTCTATCACAGGTGAATGAAAGACGTGCATTTAAATGGCCTAACACAGGTAAAATGAACATTCGATGTCGCAGATCGGTGGAGTACAACAGGCGGGTCGTGAGCGTTCTCGAACCAATCGAGCAGACCATACCAGTGCGCACTAAGTGCAGCCACGTCTGCTAGGGCTTTTAAAACTTATGGAAGCAGCACAGAAGGGGTAATAAAGAGGAATATTTCATATTAAGGCGCTACCTTTCAGAAAGACACTCCTGGCAACATTTGGATCAGTTAGGATGCCACAATCATCATCAGCTCCGCGTACCTGTCGTACAGTGGTTCTAGCTGGCACAAATTCATCCACCGATTATTCGGGGTGGGGTAGGGGGCTGCGCATTGGAGGTGGGAGTTAAAGTGGTGCGTTAAATACAGGTGCCAGTGGACTTCTAAGAGGGGGGATTGGAAGAAAGCTAAACACTGAAGGCACTAACATGAGAGCTGTTGAGGAGGCGTCTGATGCATGTCTCTAGCCACTGGTATATCTCGTCTCGGGGTCTCTATCCAGAAAACACGGCAGTGACCGGCCGAAGAATGGGAGTTTACACTGTTATCAAGTAATGCAGCAATTTCTTTGGTTTATTCAGGTGTTAAAAGAGGACCACATCATTCAATGATTCCTAGAAAACTGTGTCAAGCAACAGATTACGTACACTCCGTGGCTGAACGAAGGAACTTTAAAGGTCGAACGAAACCCCACTTCGCACGTAAGCGCATGCACAGCTTTTCGAACACAAGTGAAAGTTTCTTTGTGTACATATTGAGGGTGGAGGCCAGTAGCATACGGATCCTGGACCAAAATATCCACTAGAGAACCCGGCCTCACAGAATTATGTTGGAATGACGATTGAGCATCTGCACTCAGACAGGTGTTACCGTAAGTGATGACAGCTATAATACAGAGCTGAAGCGTTCTGATTATCTGCGAAACTACACAAATTCGAGCCCTTATTGGCGTTACACAGCTTCCACTGGGACATTCCAATTCGTAAACCGGTTATTCATCCAGCCCCTTCTAATAACCTACTGAAATTCTGCTCGAGATGCTTACTACCGGAAACTGGCCCAAACACTATATACAGTCTATCACAGGTGAATGAAAGACGTGCATTTAAATGGCCTAACACAGGTAAAATGAACATTCGATGTCGCAGATCGGTGGAGTACAACAGGCGGGTCGTGAGCGTTCTCGAACCAATCGAGCAGACCATACCAGTGCGCACTAAGTGCAGCCACGTCTGCTAGGGCTTTTAAAACTTATGGAAGCAGCACAGAAGGGGTAATAAAGAGGAATATTTCATATTAAGGCGCTACCTTTCAGAAAGACACTCCTGGCAACATTTGGATCAGTTAGGATGCCACAATCATCATCAGCTCCGCGTACCTGTCGTACAGTGGTTCTAGCTGGCACAAATTCATCCACCGATTATTCGGGGTGGGGTAGGGGGCTGCGCATTGGAGGTGGGAGTTAAAGTGGTGCGTTAAATACAGGTGCCAGTGGACTTCTAAGAGGGGGGATTGGAAGAAAGCTAAACACTGAAGGCACTAACATGAGAGCTGTTGAGGAGGCGTCTGATGCATGTCTCTAGCCACTGGTATATCTCGTCTCGGGGTCTCTATCCAGAAAACACGGCAGTGACCGGCGCGAAAAGAGCCCTTCGATGAAGTCGGCCGACCGGCCGACGCGACTTGAAAAACAAGAATAAACTGTAGCTTACACAGTTCAGCACTAAAATTTTCAGAACTGAGTTCAACTATGGATTCGGTGGTCACGGCACGCTGGACAAGTAAAACGAACATTCGCCAGCGAGGGGATATATGGACAGAGTTTGATCCAGAGAAGTCCGCTATCTCATCAATATTACGCACGTGTTGTAAGTCAAGGTTTACGGGGCATGCAATCACTGATGAAATAATGGTTCAACTGTAACTCTTCCGGTGCCTAATTGCCATGCCACCTGAAGGAAGCACGAGGACCGAGATACTCTCGGGCTACTCAAGCTTAGGAAGAAGTGGAGATGCAGAGGTCGGGTTAGAAACACGGAAATTCCGGTCAGTAAATTCGCACTCTAACCAACTAAGACATCTCATTGATGACCCGTGGCTGTACATGCGTTGGGTGGACATTGTCAGCGCATCTATGGTCCAGATTAAACTCGAGCTGGTGAGGACGTTAACTGTGAGGGAGATTCGAAGTGAACGAATAGATTCGCCCACCAAACGAGCTTTTGCTGGCCTGCCAGCCTAGAACCAATATAGGATTGAAGGTGTTCGGCTACCCATTGGTGGCACGGTTAGCACCACGGACGGGTACTTCGACGATACATTATGATTCAGTGTCGCAGAAATAGAGCTCACAAAAACGAAAATTGCAGTCGCCACAAGGTAGTTTGATGTATTAACAATTAAATCATTCGTTTCAATAGGTGATTGATGTATTTTTCCCGATTCCCAAAATCGCCGGCTTCAACGAAGTGACGTCCTTTCTTTCGGAATCCACCACTAGGGTTATTCAGTTTGAATGGCCAAAGGAAGGATACAGCTGGCTTGAAGTTTTTCTGCACCTTGACGATCTCGTGTATCAGATCCTCCATGCACAGGATCCCGTAACGCTGAAGTTTCCGTTGGATCAAGTCGTTGGTGATTGGTTGACGGGTTCCGTGGTATTTACAGTAACCACGCTTGTATAAGAGCTGCCGAACAGTCTTGATGGATGGATAACCCCAAGCGACGTAGGGATCGATAATCCGTAACATATTAAGTGTAGCCTATAGACTTGTGAAGGGATCGAATGAAACCTTACCTTGTTCAATCGTACAAACATGCCGTTATTGATCTGTCGCAGGCGAAACAGCTGTAAAATCTTACGAGGCCGGGGGTGGATTCCGTTTATACCACGGATCCGGACAACAAAAGCCAGTTTCGGCTCCTCAGGTACATAGAAGTTGCCAGCCTTTTTAGCCTCCCTGGCCTTGTTTATCTCCCTTCGTGCGTCTTTGCGGTATTCCTGAAAACAATCAATATTAGACAACGAAAAGAATGTTCACATACATTAACATAGGCTTGGCCGCGCGCGGTGATAAGCTTTTTTAGAGTTGCAAAACGCCTGCGTTGTATGATTTTTTTCGCAGCTTCGGATACAATTCGACGTTTTCGAATTTTTTCCTTGAAAAGCTTCCCTTCCGGCTTGCGCGGCTTTTTGTCAGTCTTCACTTGGGTGCTGGAGAAAGGACGTGAAATGTCGAAAACTACATGAAAGAAGCATAACTGGAAAACCAATGCACGCATAATCACCTACAGCACTTAAAAGGCATTCGAGGCACTTTTCTTCACCACCTCTAAAATGTCAGGTACTATCGCCGTTTTGAACCATGGAAGTGGTTAGCGTTGGTTCCTGGGACATCACAGGTGGTCAGTTCAGCCTTGGCGACCCCGACACAACGAATCACTTCAACCCCCTGGTCCATTCGGTGCGTCAGCAACATCTGAATCCATTATTTAGGAGAACCAAGCTACGGTCAGTCAGTTTGAATAAGCTTCCGATTGGGAAGCCAGTCAACACATCTGGATGGAGCAGTCGACGCTTTTTGACCTAGACCGACTGCCATAGCGCACCTGTGCTGGTGGTCGTCTTGACCACGCCACTGCACGGCATCAAAATCCGTTAGTTTAGTCATGGTAGTCAAGTTGCTTCCATTCACACCTACCTCCGCTGACCGACTGGGCAATCTAAGATTGTTCTAACCAGCGTCACTCAGTGGCGTCCTTACAAGTAGTTTATTGCCTTAGCAACTATACGAAGTGGAGCTGCTGGAAACATTACCGGCGACGATATTACTGCGCTGTTCATTGCGTGTTCCTGGATGGGGACCCCGAGACGGCCACATCAATGGCTAGAGACATTGTCAGATATGGCCCAGCCGCGCCCTCAATGGCACTCGTGCATCCAAGCTATTGCCTTCAATGCATAGCTTCTTCTCCGACCCTCCTTCACTTGACAGCCCACTGACTGCTGGATTTATGCACTAATTTATTAGCTCTCGCCTGCAATGCGCAGCTACCTACCCACCCACCCCCCAAATCATCGGTGAACAAAACTGCGGCAGCTACAACCACTGTACGACGAGTACGCGGTTACTACAGCTGACAATGATGATGATGATTACTCCACCTTCAGCTGTCTTGGCAACTGTGCCTATGTAGCTGAAAAACGCCTCGGTTTCGGAACCGTTGGCTGTTGAATTTGAACTACGTATCTGAGATTCAGCAGTCCTTGGAATCAATATTACCCAGAGTTGGTACTCATTTTACTGCGTCACAAGATGAGTGACCTATGCAGATGTTTCGTCGGCAGTCGACCCTCAAATCGGCCGCTCTAAGGAGTTAGCTTTTGGGTTTCTATAGCCAGCAGTCTTGGAACTGTGAACTTCGTTCGCATCAAGCGACCCGTCTCAAAAAGGCTGTTGTATTTGTATCCGGAGTTCCCCTGCATGTACAGCTGTCTGTCATAGCCATTTTATTTGGATAGTGTCGACAGCGAAAGCTCCCGGGGAGTAACGCAGCATGGTGACCACGGCAATCCTACGTGGCTTTAGTGTACATGAGTTCTTCAACGGAAAATGGAGAATAATTGACTGCGGGCCCGAAGTTACGTTTATTCCCTAGTTAGGCACTTCTATTTTATCGGGATTGACCTTTACTAGGCACTGATCAGCGTGGACGGCGGAAAAGGAGAGCGTCTGACTGTGAAAAATTGGTTCAAGTCATTCAGCCGGACGCGAGGGAAAGTGGCCAGTTTGTTAACTACAAACCGAGTACTCAGGTTTACTAGGGGTAAGGGGAAAACGACAGCCATTATCTTCAGCTGCAAACCGCGAGCTTGTTGTACAGGAGTTATAAGCTCCACGGTTCCGTTCACCGATCATCTGGGAAAATGCGGATAAATAACCAGGCACCAGCTAAATCAGCTGATGCGTGAATCCAGGAGTGGGTGAGCTTCCCATTGGGAGGTATACGAAAGCAAGCCTACATGCATAAACGAAAACCAGTGCGCGGGTAGGCCGTGTATGCCGATGTCCCTAAACATTGGTGTGCCACGACTGAGGGTACCCATTCAAGGAGACACCAAGGACGATAGCCCAACGATAAATATATTTCCGATGCATCCAGAGAAATTGGACATGGATTCATGAGACAGGTGAGATCAGTGGAACACTTTTCAAAATGGCCGGCCAATTGTTGATTTTTATGAACGGACGTTGACACCAGCCGTCCCTGGGCAAGCGTTGGGAGATGAGAATAATAAGGGGCATGAATAACAAATGGACAGCCACCGCAGTAGACATTTACTGAGGATAGAGGGTTGCAGTAGGTGAACTCATCACTCATATTGTCAGACAGGAGTGTTGGTGGTTCTCTACAGAAAGTTCTCATGACACGGTGGTCTTTTGCTCTATGAAGTTTCCACGGAGATTTTCGAAATTCGGACCTCTAAGTGAAGGCGGTCGCACTCTAGGAACGACAAGGTATTGCTCCTACGCTTTTAAAGCGAGCACTAAAGCAATGAGTACCCTAAGAAAATCAAGTGACACGGAGACCGACCCGTTAATCTTCAAAAGGAAGCTTTGAACTCATGGATAGTTAATAACAGTAGTTGCAGGTAATTTCCAGGTTCAGAAAGGGATGCCAAGTAATCGATTTTGCCTGCTTAGCCAGCGTACCACTAACTCTAAATAAAAAGCAGAAGAGCTGTCTATAGTCGAATGAGTGAGGGATACCGAAAGCTGACAATGCATGACAAATTTGATAGTTGCAGCCTGTTAGGCAAAAAGGGTGGACGAGAGAGCAGAAAACAATCCGTTAGGATGTGACGCGAAGTGTGAAAGCCATTACCAGCAAACTCAGCTGCGCTGGTCACTGCCGTCTTCCTGGGTGGGGACCCTGAGACAGGCCACATCAATGGCTAGAGACATTATCAGATATGGCCCTCAATGGTGCTCGTGCATCCAAGCTATTACCTTCAATGCATAGCTCCTATTCCAACCCCCTCTACTTGACAGTCCCCTGACAGTGCTGGATTTATGCACCAATTTACCAGCTCGAGCGTGCAATGCGCAGCTACCTACCCCCACCCCCAAATCATCGGTGAACGAAACTGCGGCAGCTACAACCACTGTGCGACGAGTACGCGGTTCTTACAGCTGACGATGATGATGGGCTGAGATACTGCCAGGTTGTCCAAGCCTGAAAAGGAGCAGTCAATACGTTGAAGTTGTGTTCGAACTACGGGCCTCCCGGTCAGTAAGTTGGCACCTTAACCACGGCTATCTCGAGTTCTCAGCGTAGGCCAATCGATCCGGATAGACCAACTGCAATTTCCTTATTGCCCGGTTGTCACGGAAAGGACAGTTTTATTCCTGAAGCGAAGTACACAATATTAAGACGGTCAGGTCCTAACAAGCAAGCCTGCCTTTTTTAATATTTCACTGGGATTTCATTTTCTCCCTGTTGTAGCCAACTGAGCTGCAGCGCTCTCTTGTTCCTTTGGTTCAACTACACTATAGCCGACATTCATCTGGTGTCCTTTGTCTTCTTCCTTGAGGTTTCCCCACTCAAGTCCTAGACTACAAAACGCGATAGGATGAATTCCATCAAGCTCCTAAATCACCCAGTTAGCACACAGACACAACACACAGCAGTTAAAACCTGAATAGACTCCGACAGCAGCGTCACAGGCCTGGGGCTTTCATCAGAGATGCAGTCAGGCGCTCAAACCAAAATACAAACTGAAGATGTTTCTTCATACACTGCGTGTAAAGTTCACATTTGTAACACCGTTCTTCGGAGCAGATGAGATACACAGAATACTATGATGACCCTGGTATGTATAGGCTGTTAGCTTCTCATTGTGCTGAACTGTGCATTATATTTCCAAACTAACTGAACTAATTCTTATCGGACAGCGTGATTTCGTTTGTTTGCAAGTGACAGGTCTTTCATACTGATCGTTCTAGATCCAAGAATGGTGAATATTGATTTACCCAACCTAGTCATTGTAGCGAGACAGAACGTGGGATTGATAACAGCTCCAGGTTTACTTGTAACGGCCATTTGATATGGATCGCATTCACGCAGTCCACCACCATTCTTTGTCTTCACCCGACGAGTTCAACTCCCAATACAGAATCTGCGACATCCACGTTGTCCAACACGCGGAATAGCCGAACATATCGAAGCATTCGAGAAGAGCTGAGGAACCGAAACAAAACCATGCAACGAGAGAAGTGTGAACAGACTCCATCTAAATGAGGTCTGGTGTGTGAAGGTTTGCAGTCAACTCCAGGCGTACACGGAAAGTCGGGCTTACTACTATCCCGCCAGACAACACAAATCACGCAAAACTGCTGCGAGATATCTGAGGTGACAAAAATACAGTATGAGGGCTCCTGAGTTTGTCGACGTCACGTGCGCTGAAACGCCAAGGCCACATCCATGGTCTTCTTCGACCGAACCAGGTAGTCGGGAGGATGTTTCCCTTCCACGTGACTCTCCTTGCACGAGCAAAAACAAGACACGGTGCGCATGCTTTCATTCTCATAAACGGATCACCTAGCTAAGGTTTACCTGCCCTGGGTTGGGTTCTTGGATGTTGACGCCTTACTTTAACAGGACGGTCAGATGTACGCATTTTCTCGCTGTCCACAGCGGTAGGCACCTTGCTGCTGATAGTTTTCTCCAAGAACACAGGACTTCTTCGCACCGAACCTATGCCATTCAGTCATCTCCCAACTTATGAAAGCTTTCTTTCTCTTTGATAAAACGGTAGTCGAACGCCAGTATTACTGGTGTAACGCTGTCAATGATGGTGATACTGCGTACTCGATACCCAGGCGTAAGCTCACATCTAACGTGTAGGTTCTTGAACGTTTTCCATTAGAACGTAAGGCCTCACTTTTTCATTTCCACTGGTAGACATTTTTCTCGCTGTTGTATGCCAGTGTTTTCTACTGGTGTATTGCCGCCGATGACGACATCCAGTTATTATCAGAGACAATACAGGCCAGCAAACAATTCTGTGCTCGTTGGTATAGGTGTTTCTGAAGTCCAGTTACCGCCAGTGGAGATTTTACATCCAATGCGTATGGGGTGGCTCATCCATTCAAACGGCTCATTCGTGAAGGTAGGTGTCCAAGGACAAGTCTTGTACTGGTATAAAACCAC